TCTGCTTGCTTGCTTCTTTTGGGTTTTTTTTCTTGCAGTTGCATGCTTAGGATAATGAAATCTAATGATCCCAATCTTTAAATTAGTGCTATTACATTACAAGGCATGAGAATAAAGGATCATTTCCCCCTATAAAGGAATGGAGTTATCTGCATCTATGCCTCTTATGACGTCACGTTTAGCCACACCCATTGACAGGAAGTAAATTGAAAGGAAGCAAAAAGTGCATTTTTGAAGGCTCATATCTCAGTGAATAATTTTTTTTAGACAATAGGAGTTGGAACACATCATTATTATGGTCAGGCAATCATATTAAGACCATAAAATAAATACCCTAAAAAATCACTGCAGTTACACTTTAAACTTTTAATGGTTTATAGTCCTGTTTACACTACAAACCAGTTTGGATCAAAGCGGTTCAGAAACCAGCTTAATTGTGTCCACACGTAACTGTGGTTCAATCAGTTTACAATGCTACATTGTATACATAATACAGCTGCTTTAGTACTTAAACTGGTTCGATTATTAAGAACACAGTTTTTGTCTCCATAGAGTTTTATCAAGATTCTATCGTTTCAATGTAAACAGTAGCATAAAACAGGCACAAAACTATACCATTGCGTCATTTAGTTGCCATTTAGTTGCGTAACGAGGCCTAAACCAGTTTCAAACCGGTCTAAACCAGTTTCAAACAGGTTTGAGAGCATAGCGCAAAGGGACGATAATATGATATTTTAATATCGTACATACAATTAGCATATTGGCAGATTGACACTCTCAACTGCTAGAGTTTCAATTTACTTAATCTTCTAAATTGACAAGTTATTCAGCTTCATTGTTACTGTGATCTTCACTGTCTTTTCACATACAATTACTGTCTTTTTTGTCCTACACCATACATGTACATTTTAGTATATAGCCTCTCTTAATGGACACTCTCTATTTAACGGACAGCACCTAGTGTACCTTACTGTATGAAATAACCCCCAATTTCTGAGCAACTTAAAATTCATAAAAATCCAATTTTAATGTGTATATACCTGTAATGCTTTTTCCTGTGCCTTTTTAAACAGAGCCAGGTCACTCTCAGTGACCCCTGGGGGTAAGGGGGTGTGACCATCAGTCGAACAACGGTGACCAGCGTTAGGGTCCTCGGTCTCCGATTTCTTGCGTCTTTTACGAGACGAGGAAGAACGCGGCAACGACGGAGTCTGACTATACAACTCCTCGAAATCATTGACAAAATCACCATAATGTGAAAGAGTGGATTTACGAGCTTTTTTACGAGGAGGACACTCTGTCGAGATCGAACCTCTGATAGGACCACGCCTCCTATTGGGTGGAGGAACGCAAATCGGACAGACCCACCTACCCTCGGGCAGGGAGGAGATGGGCGGATCCAAACAGACCATGTGGAATCCTTTATCACAAGCGTCACAAATCAACAAGTCGTCAGCATTAGCTGAAGCATTGCAATAAATACATTTCTTGCATTCGAGGCATAGCCATGGCTCCGCTGTGATGAATTCGACAAGTTCCTTGGAATATTTGAGACAAGAAGGATGACCGGAGTTACCACACTCATGACAAGAGAGGAGCTGCTCGTACTGCTTGTCCCTGTTATTCTCCTCCGTCCCGAGACAAAAACTACAAATCGAGTTCGGACGAGCTTTAGGCGACGGAAACGGCTCGAGGATTTTTACGGCTACTTTCACGAGTCGACCCTTCTTCTCTAAATCCCCTTTTTCAACCATACGAGCTATGGTGGTCTTAATTTGATCAGACAGTTCAGGAGTGAGTATCAGTCCATAATCAGAGCATATCTTCTCCTCGATCTCTTTAAGCGTGCATCCTCCTAGATTAATCAATAGGATCGATTTCTTTATCATGCGGTGTATATCGGCCGAGTTTGCAGGTCCCTTGGTCTGTGTGACGGTTGCTGGGTCGCGGTACGATGGTAGACCCTTGTTTATCAGTTTGACCACTTTGCAAGCAGAGACGGCCTTTTCTAACTGATCGAGTGTCACCTCTGGGGCTATGCCGTATTTGTTAGACATTGTGGTACATATTCTCTCCTCGCCCGGCCTCTGTTTCTGCCCTTTAATTCTGTGGATGGAGGCTATTAGCTTGCTCACTATGGAGTTATCCAGGCCTTCTGGGATACCAGAGTCACTATCTTGGTCCGCTCCAGGCGAGGAGGTTTCCTCGGGAGATTCTCCTTTATTTTTTCTGGTACGAGGCATAATGGAGAAGATTTGTTAAAGATGCAGAAAAAGACGAAACGAATTTAAGTGAAATCAGTTCGCCGCCATTTTCACTTGTAATATACGGAGGTGAATGTAAGTGATACGGTAAATAGATTAATTTTCTTTTTGTAATAAATAGAAATAATACGGTACTTACGCCCACGTATCTGAGATGTTTATAAATGCTGGAGAGATTACCTTTGCTCAGTAATTGCTTTTTTGTGAATATTTTATATGAGCTGGACTCAAAGCTAGCTGGACTAGCTACAAAAACGACACAGCTAAATATCTAGCTATACAATTTTAAACTTTGACCAAGCTGTGCTTGGAAATCAATCAAATTCTCTGTATTATTAACGGAAATATTTTCGCAGGACGAAAAAATCAACACATGATGAGGACAATGAAGAGAGAAACAACTGCTGCAGGAGTAATACTAATGACTCTTATACTCTTTCATTGCACTCTTGGGCAAAGTAAGTATTCTAGCATTAAAAATATACATATATATCATTGTATGACATTTACAATGCATTTCTTATGCAGCAACTTGCAGTAATGGTGAGCTGAGATTGATGCCCCCAACTGGCAATGTCCCATCTACTGATACACACAGGGTGACTGGAACACTTGAAATATGCTTCAACAATCTCTGGGGCAGCATTTGTGTACCTGATCCAAGTAACTGGACACATGAAGATGCTAGAGTAGCTTGCAAGCAATTGGGATACTCATCTAATGGTCAGTATTATTAATGCAAATAAAAACATAAAAACAATTGTCATGCATTGAAATTCACCAGCTAGCATGTAATTTCTTATAATAACATGACAGTAATTGTTGCAGTTTAAGTTGAGTGGGTGAGGGTGAGCAGTTATGCTATCTGTTATGGAATCATGATCCAACTGTCTCTATAAGAATTGTTACAGCTAAGACAGTACATGTATACATGTATTATATGTGTGAATGCACTCCATAAATGGACATTTTCTTAGGCCCTCGTGTAAACACGAGATGGAGCTTATAATTAAATGTGGAATGTGGTAAACAATTTACTCACTTTAGAGTACAGCCATTAAGTTATGCAAGGAGATAAGCTAGTACTGTATCTTTACATGATAGACTAAAGTCTCATAGTAGCCTTGAATTAATCAAAGGAAAGATCATCCTGTGGGAAGAATATGTAGCATACTCATGTTGCTATGACTAATTGAATATTTGTATTGTAGTAAATGATGTTTATTTTAATGCATGACACTCAAAGAAAGAATTTGAACTGGATGGTCTTTCCATTAAGCAAGCAAGCATTATATAAAGTGGGCAATCCAAAGAATGTCAGTATTATTAGTCTTTATTTGGTTAGTTCACTGCCTTCCTCATTAAATCCATTTATTTGTATTGTACTCTAGTGATACAAGATTATGATGCACTCGTATATTTTAATTGATCATTCCCTGTAATTCAACTTATTTAATATCACAATATCGACTATATTGCTAACATTGAGAATATGTGAATCCTTATAGGTGCAATTCCATTAAATGGTGGCTATTATGGTCAGAGTGCTGGACCCGTACACTTAAGTCAGAATATAAAGTGTGACGGAGATGAGTCTTCATTGTTAAACTGTATAATGATCAATGGAGGAGGTACAGATGGAGGAACATGTACTCATGCTCAAGATGTTGGGGTTGCATGCGAAGGTTAGTTTGACTGACACGTGTTCATTAAGTAATTATAAAGTTAACAAACAGACACAGAAACATATGTAAATGTGTACATGAACATGTGCCAGTTTTGGGTGTATATGTTCATGATATCCTAGCGTTTGTTTTTGCTGTTTAGTTGGCCACTAACTAGTTTAGAATTTCATTTTATTGTCCATGGAAGAAAAGACATAACATTCGCTGTAGAATAAAAACAAATCTCATTTGTAGCATGGCAACAAAGTATTGCACTACTGGAGCTAATGGAGTGAATGAAATAAGCTGAAAGTCAAAATAGAATACTGCATTGCCATAGATGTACATTGCCTTTTGATACTCTTTGTCTTAGTTGGAATTGTGGCTGTGTACTACAGAGTGGTTTTACTCCATTTCTTATAATATTGGATTTATATTATAGTAATAATAGTAGGGGGATGAAAAACAACCTGCCTGAAACAATTCCCCATAGTGTTAACAGTGTCACTACACCGGATAGTAACTGAATAAGTAGAGATCACAGGCTACGCCTTGTATCAGGGAGATTTGTGGGCAACAGTGCATTACTATTTTTAACAATGAAATTTAGCATCATTAGCATGTAGCAGCTATTTTCAGTGAAAATTGGTGTCATTCAATTTAGCTTAATTTGCAAAACTTATACATAAATGCTTGCACCATGAATAACTATTCCCCAAGAACTTGTAGTTCCCTGGATGGACACATGTATTGTTTACTATTGCTTAGTTCATTATACACTTAACATGTCCCCCACTTCATGAGTATACAATGACATATGATACCATATTTAGTATATACAGAAGTAGTAGGAATACTACTGTAGTTAGGGTGGGTACAACTTAAGAATGTATATCCACTGGAGAGGCCATTTATCACAACTGTCAAGAATGCCTTAATTAGGACAGCCTGTATAAACTATACTCAAGTCTTTATTTACACTGTCAGCCACACACCAACCACCACCAACACATGTACTATAAGTTTAGATCATTATATAGCTTCTCTCTCTCTCTCTCTCTTCCTCTCCCACTCTCCCTCTCCCTCCCTCTCTCTCTCCCTCTCCCTCTCCCTCCCTCTCTCTCTCTCTCTCTCTCTCTCTCTCTCTCTCTCTCTCTCTCTCCCCGCTCTCTCTCTCTCTTTTCCTTCTCTCTCTCTCACTTTGTGTTCTCTTCCAATAGTTGAAGGGTTTTCTTGTTCTAGTGGTGATGTGAGACTCTCAGGAGGAGGTTCTTCTAACGAGGGACGAGTAGAAGTATGCAACGGAGAGGGAGAGTATGGGACCATATGTGATGATCACTGGGACAGTAATGATGCTGGAGTGGTCTGCAGCCAACTAGGATACATGAGAGAAGGCAAGAATGAATGTAGCACACGCATAATTTAAAGACACCATTGGGCCCACACTACCTGTCCTTAATACATGTACAGTGTAGCCTCTTTATTAAGGACACCATTGGGCCCACACTACCTGTCCTTAATACATGTACAGTGTAGCCTCTTTATTAAGGACACCATTGGGCCCACACTACCTGTCCTTAATACAGAGGTGTCCTCATTTCAGAGGTACTTTTGTATAGGATTGTACCAATTGGGACATTACAAAATGTCCTCATTATAAAGGGTACATTCTATAGTAATAGTCTAATAGATATGATAGAGTAGTAATTTAAGGAGTAAAATAATGTATAGAGTTACAAATCGATACAACCTTTAACATATAAATGTAACAAGATATCTCACATTATAACACTAGCAATAGGCATATGCCCCACTGAATGACATCAATATATCAATCAATTACAACTTGATACTCATCCTTTATTATATTTACCATAAACATACACACCCAAACACCCACCCAACACACACCGTACTACATACCACATCACAATAGGGTCAATTACATTAGGAAGATCTGCATATGGTGAAGGGATAGGATATATATCAGTGACACATATTGGCTGCTTTGGAACTGAAGATAACATAACGAGTTGTGATACTGATAGCATATCAACTTGCTCTCATTCTGAAGATGCTAGTGTCATCTGTAGAGGTATGAACATACAAAATGATGTGATGATGGAATCATAATGTTGAGCTTTTATTTTCTCTTTATATTATCTTAATTCTTTCTCTCTTAAATGTACTGTATTTTTATCTTTTTCTCCTTCTCTCCCCCCTCTCTCTCCCCCTCTCTCTCCCTCTCTCTCTCTCCCCCCTCTCTCTCTCCCTCCCTCCCTCCCTCTTCCTACAGTACCTAATCCAGTATGCCTAGATGGTGAGGTTAGATTAGTTAATGGTCGCATACCAAGTGAAGGACGTGTTGAGGTTTGCTACAATGGAGTGTGGGGCTCTGTCTGTCATGACTACTGGGGGGACACTGACGCAGGTGTGGCTTGCTCACAACTTGGGTACTCATCACAAGGTATGCACTTTAAGAGAAAATACCATAAATATAATAAATAAAAAATACACTGTGAAAATACACTGTGAGTATGAATACAGGTACATATAGCTACTATAGTACACACTAGTTCACATTTAACTCTGTGGGATATTTCATTAAAATTGCATAAGTGTTGATTAACTAATTTAATTTATCCAAAAAATGCTAAAAATCATCAGAGTCTCAATCCTCAATGTATTCAAGCTAATAGACACAATATAGTCCTGTACTTGTACAAGGGAAGGTATCCAACCTGTAATGACTGTAGGTGGCTTTGATTAATGTTTGACTCTACATTCATGGAATTGTCCTCATCCTGCCCACTCAGTTGTGGTGACCCATCTTTCAGTATATCACATAGATACACATTGCATAATGTAATGTCTACACTTTCAAGGAGTTGAATTATGTCTTTTAGCACACTAGAAACTAATAATAACAATAATAATGATATTGATGTATAGAGTAAAGGAACAAATGCATGTTTGATCTCTCTTGGCTCTGAATGTTGTACTAAGAGTGAATGCCAAAGTATTGTAGCCTAAACTTGCTTTGAAGAGTCATCAGTCCTTAGCTATTGATTCCAGCACTACAGAAGCACTACAATAGAATGTTTATGTGTGTGTAATTACCATACAATACTAGAGGAATCATTATAGCTTAACTTAAATGGCTTTTGTTTGTGTTGATTTTCAAGGATTACATAGACAGTAATTAATTATAACTCATTATATAAGACCTAGAAAATATCCTCCAATTTACTAACAAGCAATCACAACAGCTCAAGGAAAGATTATTATTAAATAAAAATAACTCTTCCCCGACAAAGTTGACATACATACACATTATACTATGTCACACACAAGTAAGACACATGCAGGACACATGCAAGAATCTCTATCCAGGAGATTGTGCAGTGTGTAATGTATACAGAAATGTACCTACACATATACTAATTGACTATTCAATGTACAGATATAGTTTTAAAACAAACCCAATAGTTATTATGCAAATAAATGATTGCACAATAGCTCGGAACACCAATACATTGTACAGGTGTATGGTTCATGAATCATGAAATCAAGAATGCACTAATCATAACAGTTGTCTGGGCTAGTTCAGGGTGTGGGCATTACCATAGCAACTGGTGAGTGGGTCTATGTGTTTCAGTGTCAATTAAAGAGATTAAAATAACTACTAGTTAGAGTGTCTAGTTACATGTACATATAATCACTGTGAACACCACCCTTCCTTATTGTTGCACAGCTCATTGAGTTCATACTCACTGTAACTTTGAACCCCCCTCTTTCTGTCTCACTCTCTCTGTCTCTGTCTGTCTCTGTCTCTCTCTCTGTCTTTCTCTCTCTCTCTCTGTCTCTCTCTCTTCTTCCTTTAGGTGCCAAGGCCATAAAGTATGCTGATTTTGGTGAGGGTGATGGTCCTATACTACTAGACAATGTACAGTGCCAAGGAACTGAGCGTTACCTCAACGAGTGCAGCAGTAATGACGTTGGGGCTCATAACTGTAGACACAGTCAAGACGCAGGAGTTATTTGTCAAGGTAAAGGAGGAGGGAGAGAGAGAAGAGAAGAGAGAGAGAGAAATTCATAATCATACAGGTTAACAAACAAAATATTAATTACAAACAATAATTTATGAGGGAGGATTAAGTGAGAGACTAAACAAAACAAAACAGACCCAAAAGTCTATAAGACTATAATATAGAATAAAGTAACTTTATTATTCTGAGACAAAGCCAGCTCTAATAGACACTTCAGACTACATCAATACCATAAAAGAACATACAGCAATATAGAGTGCCTGTGAGCATGTACTTTGTACTTTGATGCATACATTATCTGTTATCTAATATGACAATGGGCATACAGTATAGTCTCTCTTAATGGACACTCTCTATAGCGTACACCTCCATTTAACCGACAGCACCTAGTGTACCAATTACATTCCTTACTGTATAAAATAACCTCCACATAAAGGACACCTCTGTATAACAGACAGTCCTAAAGTGTATCTTATATAAAGGCTACTACTGGCTTTATAGGCACAATAGTAAATGTGTATGCATGGTATAGTAGATGGCACTATATTACTATATGGATCTATATAACTGGAAATGAAGTCTGCCAGTTATCATAATTCCAAAGTGTGGATTGGGTTTGTGTGCAAATGTGGATAGAGTGTGGAGATGATGAGTCTGTCTGTCTGTCTGCCTTTACTGTTGTGTCATATCATGACATTGAATTATGGTTCATGTTTAATCTAATGAATAGATTAATTATTATATTATACTTGAACACAAGCGTGTGTGCGTGTGTGAAAATAACACCCACTCATTTGAGAATATCAACAATAGAGGAAGTATTTACTTCTTGATTGCTCCTCTCTCTCTCTCTCTCTCTCTCTCTCTCTCTCTCTCTCTCTCTCTCTCTCCCTCTTTCTCTCTCTCTCTCTCTCTCTCTCTCTCTTTCTCCCTCTCTCTCTCCCCCTTTCTCTCCCTCTCTCTCCCTCTTTCTCTCTCTCCCTCTTTCTCTCTCTCTCTTCCAATATAGATCCATCATTTACTTGTACTAATGGCCACGTGAGACTGGTGGGTGGGGCTACAAGTGGCGAAGGACGTGTTGAGATATGTCATGATAATCATTACGGGTCGGTCTGCAATGATAGATGGGGACAGGAAGAAGCTGAAGTGGTTTGTGGACAGTTAGGATTCCAACGTAAAGGTACATATTAGGACATTATATTAATAGCAGTGCATGTGTACTATCAAAAAAAATAATTATCCAAATTTTAAAGATATACCCTTCAATTGTTTGTTGATCTAATTTGATAAAGTTATTTCCAATACTTAGCACTGTACATGTGTACATTAATTTTAAAACACTATGCTTGTTTTAAAACTTCTTAAAATAGAAATTGTTGCATGCTTATGAATTTAAAATGTATAATAATTTAAATTTAAAATTTACAATTAATGCTTGCTTTGCCAAGTGCACAGTTCTAATAAAGAGCCTGAGGGTAAACGACGAGACTGAACTCCAACCAGCCAGTACAATACCCAATACAGTGACCTAATGAATATTCATTAATAATAATACAAAAACAAGCTATTTATCTGGTGTCTGTAGAAATGATTAGCGAGAGAATATAAAGTTTAATTAAATGTTCGATTGTGTAATTGTTTGTGTTGCATTATAATGACATTTAGCATTATTGATTATCATAATGTCAAGAGTGATGACTAGAGAGTGTTATTAAGTTATGCATGTAGACTATAGCCTGGGGCTAATTATCATTATCATTGCTATATACCCCAGGGCAGGGTGGAGTACATTGCTAATCACATTAAGATGATTCATGTGTATATATACACATGTACAATACCAATGGTCACCATGACACATGTACTATTATAGTAGCAATTATACTAGTGAGAATATATTACTGAACAAGCTAACATAGCATGATACATGTTAGATAGAAATTTAGCATTAAGGTGGGCATCCACTATGCAGCATTGTTGCTTGCAACTTGTGGTTAAACCTTTGATGTGGTTGGGGAACATGTTGCATGAAGTAGAGAGACACTCAACTTCATGCAACATGTTGCAGAACCGCATCAAAGGTACTGGCAACAAAGTTGCATAGTGGATGCCCATCTTTAAGTTCATGTACAACAAATTAATATTATACAAGCAAAAAGAGAAAGACAGCATCAATTCCTCCCTTACAACAATTTCATTCCCTCTCTCTCCCTTCTATAGGTTCAATAGGTATCAGTGGTAGCACATATTACGGTTCTGGAGTTGGTCTGATATATCTTGATGATGTCACTTGCAATGGAAATGAGGATAATCTCTTTGAATGTACTCATAGGGGTATTGGCAGAAGCAACTGCTACCATCATCAAGATGCTGCTGTCATATGCAAGAATACTAGTAAGGGAGGGGTTTACTTTATAGAATTATTACATTTTTTATGCATATACATGTACTTGAGTCATGTAAAGCTTTTGAGCTAGATTCCAATTAAAAATTGAATTTCTTAAAGTTGATCAAAAATCGGGCCAAAGTCCCTGTACTTTAGTACGTGGTCTCAAGCCAAATTTTGCCAAAAATAAAAAGGTAAAAAAATTTGCATTTTTATAGCTTTTCCTGATGCATATACATGTACTTATGTTGCATAGAAAGTTTGAGTTCATTCCGATCAAAATTGGATTTTTTACTAATTTTTAAAGTTGCTCAAAAATCGGGCCAAAGTCCCTGTACTATAGTACAGGGTCATTGGCCAAATTTCATCAAAAATGAAAAGGTGAGAATTCTCCATTTTTATTACATTTTCTGATGCATATACATGTACTTATGTTGCATAGAAAGTTTGAGTTCATTCCAATCAAAATTGGATTTTTTTACAAATTTTTAAAGTTGCTCAAAAATCGGACAAAAGTCCCTGTACTATAGCACTGGGTCTCTGGCCAAATTTTGCCAAAAATGTAAAGTTGAGAATTCTACATTTTTATTACATTTTCTGATGCATATACATGTACTTATGTTGTGTAGGAAGTTTGAGCTGATTCCGATCAAAATTGTATTTTTTACGAATTTTTAAAGTTGCTCAAAAATCTCACAAAAGTCCCTGTACAGGGACTTTTGTCCGATTTTTGTACAGGGACTTTCAGTAAAAATGACTAAGAGAGGATTCTCCATTATCAGTACACTTTCCCCATAGCCCCATCATGTACAGATGGTGAAGTGAGACTAGTCAATGGTAGCAGACCTAATGAGGGAAGGGTTGAAGCCTGCTACAGTGGAGTCTGGAGTGGTATCTGTGATAATGATTGGACCATAGAAGATGCCACTGTTATATGCAACAAGCTAAACTATAATGACAACAACAGTGAGTGGATAATTATACATTATCTTGTACTGAATTAAATTTGAAAATCTGCTATATCCACAAAATTTGCATACCCTAATAAACCCAGTCATACATTACACGGTATTTTTAGCTGTTAAAATTACATTAATTATAAATAATAAATTATTAATAATTAATTCTCTTCTTTACCATTAGATGCCTTTCCTCCAGTGAGTGTACCAGGAGGATACTATCCACCATCAGGTGGCCCCACCATATTCTCATCTCCTGACTGCAATGGAAGTGAATCAGATATACTGCAGTGTCTCAATATCAGTAACATCGGGACTGGTACTTGTTATAGTGATGAACATGTGGGCGTCATCTGTCCTGGTAAGATAAATAGGATTATTTATTTATTTAAATATTTTGTAATATAATTTTTATACTTTAAATATTTTTTATATTTTTATTTTTTAATTTTTTAAATAATTTTTTATTTTTTATGTTTTTATTTTTTAGTGCACAAAGTTGATGGGGCCAATGTACGTACTCAGTATTGCAGCAATGGAGAGATCCGATTGGTCGATGGTGGTTCGGGAAACCAGGGTCGGGTCGAAGTGTGTCACAACAGTGTATGGGGCAGCGTCTGTGACGATGGGTGGGGTCAACTGGAGGCCAGTGTAGTCTGTCGACAGTTGGGATACAACTTGACAACAACAAGTGAGGGCTTTAATTAGAAACACTGTTACTATTAATAGAACACAAAATATATTATAATTAGAATACAAAATTATACTATTGATTTTACTTTTTGTATAATAGGAGCTATACCGACCCCCAGGGGAATATTCAAACCTGGCTCGGGCCCGGTTTTTCTATCAGATGTGCAGTGTTATGGGATTGAGAATAATTTAATGAAATGTTCAGGAGCCAGCGTCAGATATCAGGACTGCCCACACTCAAATGATGCTGGAGTTATCTGCATGAGTAAGAATTAGAATAATGATTTATTATTATTATTATTATTATTATTATTATTATTATTATTATTATTATTGCTCTACCAGTATGTCATTTTTAATATTCAATTTAAATGGAGCATTGGTGTTGACTTCGCAATAAAAATACAAATTACATGTCAGTTATAACTTAGTAATTTTTGTGCCCATAAACAATCAGCAGATATTGAACATAACCATACTACTGTATCAATAATTCAATATATAGATATAAGAACTGTACTACTGTATCAATATAATACGTGTATGAACTATTTCATTTATAAAATATCCTTTCCCAGGCTTACCCTGTACTGATGGTGACATTAGGTTAGCCGAAGGTGTCAGAGAGAGTGAGGGTATACTGGAGAGATGCCATGAAGGAGAATGGCACGGGATCTGTGGAGGAGAGGAGGAACTGACGACGGAACAAGTAGGAGGAGTTTGTATGCACCTAGGGTACACAAATAAAAGTAAGTAATAATAATAATAATAATAACAATAATAATAATAATAATACACTAACATTATTTATTTTATTCATTTATTATTTTTACAGATGCTTACATCAGACCAGGATTATTCAGCAGTTCTCATTCACTGACCTTAAGAATGAGCCAGTGCTCTGATGACAGTGACTTTATTGGTTGTATCAGAGAAGAAGGGAGCATCACTACTGGAGCACAATGTCCTGTTGGAAAAGTACTAGGAGTTGTATGTCAAGGTAGAAAAATAAATAAAAATTAAATAAGGATACTGAAATGAAATAGAATATTCAAATGAGTGTATACTAATTTTAATGAAAATTTAGTGATTTAAAAATAATGCATAATTTTTTAATTATTTCTAGTGACTGATATGGAAATGTTATGTTCAACTGGAGACGTACGTCTAGTGGGCGGGGCCAGCCACACTGAGGGACGGCTGGAGGTATGCGTGGGCGGTGAATGGGGCAGTGTCTGTGATGACCATTGGGACAACAAAGGAGCTACCACCGTATGCAGACAGCTGGGATATCCCCATACTGGTACGTATGCATTTAAAATCTCACTCAATCTTAATTTTTATATTTTATAATTTTTTTCCAGCTGCTACTGGAGTTGGTGGGTCTCATTTTGGACCAGGGAATGGAGGTATATTCTTGGATAACATCCGTTGTCAGGGGAACGAGACCGACCTGTTGGAATGTGACTCCAGCAGTTTAAAGACTCATAATTGCGATCACAGAGAAGATGCTGGTGTCATTTGTCAAGGTATGAGAGAGAAGAATAGAGAGAAAGTGAAAACAGCTATTTTAAATTATTAATAATCATCCTTATTATTGTTCATTTACCATACAAGCCTCAATTTATACAATGTATCGTGCAAGATGCAAAATTTAGTGCTATAGTCCTAAAATTGCATAAAATCAACAATCAATCATATTTTTTATTTTAGACATTGTTCAACCAACTACTACAGCAACAGCAGTCACGCCCCCACGCATCACCGTGACAACAACTGTACAAGTAACAGAAGAAAACAGTTCAACAGGGAGTCAGGATGGTTCGGGCGGAGTCAGAACGAACGGACTAGTGGGAGATATATCAACAAAGACATTGATAATAGCAGTTGCATCACTTATCACTGTTTGTGTCTTCATTGTATGTATAACAGTCATCACAATCATCATATTCAAATACAGGTAAGACTATCAAATATGATACAGTGTAGCCCATGCATGAACCTGTCCTTAATACAGAGGTGTCCTCATTTCAGAGGTACTTTTGTATAGGCTTGTACCAATTGGGACATTACAAAATGTCCTCATTATAAAGGTGTCCTCATTATAAAGGTGTCCTCATTATAGAGATAACATTGCATGTAATTACTTTATTCGATTTTTAATACTTCATTTCTTTCATTAGGAGATTAAGATTAAAACTAAAAGGAGGAGTCCCAGTACCAACTGATGTATCAAGTCAAAAAACAGACTCAGTAATAGGCAGCCCACCACCAGACATATAAGAATAAATAATTATAATTATTTTATGTAAATTAATGTATGTATGTATGTTATAATTAATACATGTCTATTTGTAAAAGTATAGTCATTATATAAATTGTTACAGTATAATATTGTAATTGTGTTTCTGTAATTATAGAATTTATCATGATTCAAGCTATTAACATTACTATTACTATTCTACAACACTATTTACTTTTTGACATATCACAGTTTGTGGCGAATCATTACAAATAATATATAATAATGATGTTAATCTCTCAATGACCTCCATACCTCCTGAACAACTTTATAATGTACTTAAGATAGATATGCAATACACAACTTAGCACTATTGGCAATGGCAATATGCCAAAACACTACAGTCCAAGCAAAGCCATATAATTTATTCAGCTATGACAGCCATTACTCACTGTAAAAATTGTGCTTTAATGACCTTGAATGTTTTTAGTGCATGGAAAAAGCATTCAGCTTTTGTAATTTATCATCATTAAGCCAAGAATAATATTAGTTAATCAAAAATGTAATTATTACAAATAAGCAAAAAAGAGGCCTAAAGCAGCAAAAATAAACTGTACATGTCCTATAGTGTTGCATGAGTCCTGAAGTTCTTGGCTTTTAGCTGATGAGCTCCATTACTGAGCATCACAATAGTGATACGCATAATTATCAGCATTCTTGACTGCATTATCAGGATCATCTCTAGCTAACTGCTTGCACAAGTCACGACCATAGTAGTCAGTACCTCCAGAGCTGTAGTCAATGCGACCGGCAAAACTATGAGACCATTCATGAAGCAGGGTACCCTCCTTGCTTTCAGCAGATTTACTGCACAACGTTTGAGAATTGTAGTACAGGTCACAAAGATAGACGGTATCTTTAATATTTGACCATACATACGCATAATCACCAGCTTCACAATCAGGGCCATCATTGTAGTATGTTACAGAAGTGTTACCTAGTCCATTTTTTATATCTTCATATGTTTTTCGAGCTGTATTTGTCCTGTCAGCACTATATACACCAAACCATGTAGTGGATATAGCAATACCATTGCCAACTTCACCTTGAGCTTTACCAGATCCAGAGCAGAGCTTCTTATGAGCCTCCAGTGTTTCATTCTTCTGTTTATCCCCACCAGAGAAACTAGCACTGCTACAGTCTTGGAGGTGGACAGTGTAATCAATTTTTACTTTTTCTACTTTTGGTTTCAAAAGAACAGAAGTGTCTTCCAAGTAAAGTTGAACAGATTCACGTACAATCGATTCCCTGAGCTGATCAATAGACATTGCACTCATCTCATTCACTGACAGATACTGTAAAGGTCTACTGTATTGTACAGTGTAGAGACCATCAGTATCAATGCTAAATATATCAGTGATTTGGACTGTTGCAGAAATGCTCTCACCTGCCTTCAAGAGTACAAAATTTTTCTTCGTAGGAGGGGCACGACGCACATACATACCTTTATATTCCAATGGATGGCCATCAAGAGAGACAGAGACAAATTGAGATCTGAGTCCTTCAAGAGGAGTGTTACGTTTCAGTAGATAAAGATCCTCATTCCCATTGTTGGTAAATTCAAAAGAGCAAGCAACTGCAGAAAGAGCTTTATTACAAGCCATGTCAAGAGAGACTGGCCGCTGACTGCATGTACAAGAGAAAAGTAACATTGATTTGATAGTGTAGTAACATACCTGAGAGCACAGGTCAGGTAAGTAACCAGACAGAAGAGTGAGAGTAGAGTCTTCATGATTCCTTTCCTTGATAGACAGTATTCCTTGTTCTTGTGAGATGATTTCTTTTTTTAGTGAGAAGTGATTGACTGCTGCTGGTCACCTCCTTATATACAATTAGGTACATCATCATTCAATAAGCAGATTCTGACCAATCAGAGACTAGTCAATCATTTTGAGCAAAACGGTCAATGACTGTATACGTAGAATTTCAACAGTTGAAGTGCCTACCAAGTTACTACACTATCTAACTTTCCAGTGAAATGACTAGATCACTAGACTATAGTAATTCACTTCCTTTATTGAAGAATTTAGCTATGCATGTAGTGGATGCTTTCATGTACTTGGACAATTGAACAAACAAATTAATGGTAAAATTTAAAAGCCTATTCAGGCAGAGCAAAATTATGAGACAAAACATGCACTAGATCTAAATGCAGTGTTTTAGGGACCACAATAATTTGGAAGGGAACTAGGGGGTATATGTAGGTATAGTATGATCAATTATAATTAATAGATCTACATGTGTATTTGTAAAGGTATAGAGTCACAGTATGTATTGTAATTGTGTTTTGAATTATCATGATTCAAGTTATTAAAGTTACTATTACTATTATATAATAACATTTAATTAACTTTTTGACATATCACAATTTGCGGTGAAAAATTCTATAAATGATTCAAGCAACTCATAGTCCATGCTTACTGAGACAACTTTAAAATGTAATTAAGACGAGATATTAACAACTCCCAGAAACATAGCAGTAAACTTATTATTGTCATTTTTGTATTCAGGCATTATTTTATCTCACTACTCTATTAAGACTTAAGTAGATGAAGTGAGATAAAATAATGCCTAAATACATAGTTTCCAGACTATACATGCAGTATATCTGATACACACAATGTGCTGTAGTATACTATAGGATTAGGCAATAACTGTTTAACATGACAGTATAATAGTCCATACTGCATGTCATAGGAGAATTCCAGATACATGCACCCATATGTGTAGAGATTTAGGAATTGAAATCTCACAGCAATAAAAATGCAACGTTGCAAATGTTAGATTCAATCAGTTACTAGGCATAATACAGTCAACATTAGTGCAGCACTGTAGCACTAGCACTGTTGCATTGTAGCACTGTAGCACTGTATAGCACTGTATAGCACTGTAGCACTGTAGCACTGTATAGCACTGTTGCATTGTAGCACTGTAGCACTGTATAGCACTGTATAGCACTGTAGCACTGTAGCACTGTAGCACTGTAGCACTAGCACTGTTGCATTGTAGCACTGTAGCACTGTTGCACTATTGCACTGTAGCACTGTATAGCACTGTTGCATTGTAGCACTGTAGCACTGTAGCACTGTAGCACTGTAGCACTGTAGCACTGTATAGCACTGTAGCACTGTAGCACTGTAGCACTGTAGCACTGTATAGCACTGTTGCACTGTAGCACTGTAGCACTGTATAGCACTGTTGCATTGTAGCACTGTAGCACTGTTGCACTATTGCACTATAGCATTGTAGCACTGTATAGCACTGTAGCACTGTAGTACTGTAGCACTGTAGCACTGTATAGCACTGTAGCACTGTAGTACTGTAGCACTGTAGCACTGTATAGCACTGTTGCATTGTATATAGCACTGTAGCACTGTAGCACTGTATAGCACTGTAGCACTGTAGCACTGTATAGCACTGTAGCACTGTAGTACTGTAGCACTGTTGCACCGTAGCAATGTTGCACTATTGCACTGTAGCACTGTTTTATCAGAAAATTTATGTAACAATGAAAATTTAGAATTAAAACTGGGCTATATACAGTGTGTAATGACAGGTACACTATTAAAATTAACTATAGATGCAATTGTTTAAAACATGCAGCACAGTTTTAAATAAAAATTAGTGGAGCAAACATGTTATAAAGGGTATTTTTTCACAAGATAACTAATTAATCAAAAATGTAATTATTACAATTAAACAAAAGAGGCCTAAATCAGCAACAATAAACTGTGCATGTCCTATAGTGTTGCATGAGTCCTAAAGTTTTTGGCTTTTAGCTGACGAGCTCCATTACTGTGCATCACAATAGTGATAACAGTAATTATCAGCATTCTTCACTGCACTAGCAGGACTGTTTTCAGCCAATTCCTTGCAGTCAGAACGACCATAAGCAGTATCATCAGTATCAGCAAAAAGATGAGACCATTCATGGATCAGTGTGCCCTCCTTGCTTTCACCAGTTGTGCTGCAAGATGTTTGAGAACTGTAGTACTCGTCACAAAGAAAGACCGTATCTTTAAAAGTTGACAATATATAGGCATAATCGCCATCATCGCAATCAGGGGCATCGTTGTAGTATGTCACGTCTGTGGTACCTAGCTCATCTTTTATATCTATATATGCTGTCTGAGCTATAGTTGTCCTTCCAATATCATACTCACCAAACCATGTAGTAGATATTGCAATATTATAGCCAACCTTAGCTCCAGCTCTACTAATTCCAGAGCAGAGCTTTTTATGAGCAGCCAGCGTCTCGTTATTTTGATTATCACCATTAGAAAAACTAGCATCGCTACAGAGTTGGATGTGGACAGTGTAATCGATTTTTATTTCTTCTTTCTTCGGTTTTAAGAGAACAGAAGTGTCTTCCAAATAAAGTTGAACGGATTCATGTACAAACAATTCCCTGAGCTTACCAGTAGACATTGCACTCATCTCATTCACTGACAGATACTGTAAAGGTCTACTGTATTGTACAGTGTAGAGACCATCAGTATCAATGCTAAATATATCAGTGATTTGGACTTTTGCAGAAATACTCTCACCTGCCTCCAAGAGAACAAAATTTTTCTTTGTAGGAGGGAGACGACGCACATACATACCTTCATATTTCAGTGGACGACCGTCAAGAGAGACAGAGACAAATTGAGATCTGAGTCCTTCAAGAGGAGTGTTACGTTTCAGTAGATAAAGATCCTCATTTGCATTGTTGGTAAACTCAAAAGAGCAAGCAACTGCAGAAAGAGCTTTATTACAGGCCATGTCAAGAGAGAATGGCCAGCCATTAGCACTGCATTTACAAGAGAAAAGTAACATTGATTTGATACTGTAGTAACATACCTGAGAGCACAGGTCAGGTAAGTAACCAGACAGAAGAGTGAGAGTAGAGTCTTCATGATTCCTTTCCTTGATAGACAGTATTCCTTGTTCTTGTGAGATGATTTCTTGTTTTAGTGAGAAGTGATTGACTGCTGCTGGTCACCTCGTTATATACTATTAGGTACCTCATCAATATTCATTAGCAATTAAGCAAAAACTGACCAATCAGAGGCTAGCTGCATGACATCAATCAATTTTGAGCAAGAGGTCCTGACTGTATACTTAGAATCTCAACAGTTGAAGTGCCTACCAAGTTACTATGCTGTCTAACTTTCCAGTGAAATGACTATAACTCATCACAGAGTAATTAACATTTTTCAATGACATACTGGTGTATTCAACTATTATAGTCTGACTGGTCCAGACAGAATCTAACATGCGTGCATGTAGTGCAAGTTTTCATAAATTTAATGATAATTATTAGGACAATTGAAGAAACAAATTTATGCAACAAATTTTTTTTGCAAATTTCAAAATTTGCTCCAATGCAAAATTAAAATCGCAAAATTCTGTAGCTCCATTGCCGCATGGTGGACACAGTTTGCAAGCTATTGGCAAAAATTAATTTTCATGAAATCTTAGAATTACAAGATTCACAAAAATTTTTTGTCACATAAATTTCAGAATAAGATTGGGCATTAACTGCTTAACATGACAATATAATAGTCCATACTGCATATCTTATGAAAATTCCAGATACCCAAGGAATTTTATACATCAGTACTGTGCAGTGTGCCAGAAATACTTGACAGTCTATAGGTACGAGACCGGAAGCGAGTGCGGATAAATCAGATAGCACACGACGCCACATGTATTAATTGTTTTAGTGTATAGTTCCAGCAAAGATTGCACGTGCTCTGCTATCACTGGTATCACACTGCTGCACACTAAATAAATGAGTGTGCTATTTATAATATCACACTGCGGTATTGGTGGGAGTGTTCTGTGGGTTTTATCACAACTGTTAGGCCTTTGATCTTTGCTGCAACTATACATTAATACTTTTTATTAAGTATGATAATAATCATTAAGCCAAGATAACTAACTAATCAAAAATGTAATATTACAGTTAAGCAAAAATAAACTGTGCATGTCCTATAGTGTTGCATGAGTCCTAAAGTTCTTGGCTTTGTACCAATGATCCCATCAGCTCCTTAAAAGAACCGTGCATCACAATAGTGATAACAGTAACTTTCAGCATTCCTGACAGCATTATCGGGATGATACCTGGCTAAATTCAGGCTATTTGGCCGGCCATAGACAATGTCATCAGTGTAGCCAAAAGCATGAGACCATTCGTGAACCAGTGTACCTTCCTTGCTCTCACCAGTTGTGCTACAGAGTATCTGATCTCTATAATAGACAGGGCAGAGGTAGACAGTAGTACTTCCCTTGTACGTATAAGCATAAGAATTGGGACGGCACTGTGGACCGTTATTGTAGTATGTGACTGTCTTGGTTGTTATACCATATCTTATTTTCTGGTACACATTTTTAGCTACAGCTGTCCTGTGGTATGAATATGCACCAAACCATTTAGCAGATATAGGAATACCGTAGCCAACTTTAGTTTCAGCTTTAAGAAGGGAACTACAGAGATGCTGATGAGCATGAAGTGTTGCATAATTTTGGTTATTACCAACGAATCTAGCACTGCCACAGGCTTCAAGGTGGACAGTGTAATCGACTTTTATTTCTTCCTTCTTTGGCTTTAAGAGAAGAGAAGTGTCTTCCAAATGAATCTGAACAAATTCCTGTGCAAACAATTCCCTGAGCTGATCAATAGACATTGCACTCATCTCACTCACTGACAGATACTGTAAAGGTCTACTGTATTGTACAGTGTAGAGACCATCAGTATCAATGCTAAATATGTCAGTGATTTGGACTGTGGCAGAAGTGCTCTCACCTGCCTTCAAGAGAACAAACTCATCCTTTGTAGGAGGGAGACGATGAATGTAGATACCTTCATATTCCAATGGACGACCGTTAAGAGAGACAGAGACAAATTCAGAATAGAGTCCTTCAAGAGGAGTGTTACGTTTCAGTAGATAAAGATCCTCGTTCCCATTGTTGGTAAACTCAAAAGAGCAAGCAACTGTAGAAAGAGCTTTATTACAAGCCATGTCAAGAGAGACTGGCCAGCCATTAGCACTGCATGTACAAGAGAAAAGTAACATTGATTTGATAGTGTAGTAACATACCTCAGAGCACAGGTCAGGTAAGTAACCAGACAGAAGAGTGATAGCAAAGTCTTCATGATTCCTTTCCTTGATAGACAGTATTCCTTCTTCTTGTGAGATGATTTCTTGTTTTAGTGAGAAGTGATTGACTGCTGCTGGTCACCTCCTTATATACTATCATCAAGAGTAGGTAGCCACTTAAAATACACTAAGTAGGTAGACTCATTAACACTATTGACCTATTCAGTAAACTATTCACCTATTGAGGTGTCTGGCAACTTGTGAATAGATAGATTAGCTCTTGATTAGATACATGTAGTTTTCACACTATACACTGACTCATTAGTGCTAACTATGCATTCAAGCTATAGAACATATACTATTCACCTATTGAAGTGTCAGGCAAATTAGATACATGTAGTTTTCACACTATACTGACCAATTGATGTAATTACATGAATGAAGAGTTGTAGTATGAAATTATCAGTTTTTCTAATGTATTTTTTACATTATTTTTGATGAAATTGTAATAAGAAAGTAGAGCAACCTTTACATGGTGAATACTATTTCTAACTGTAAATTGTGACCACAAGTAGATTCAGTTTTTATGGAAGCATAAAAAATATTTTAACAATGTGGAAGTACCAACAATAAAAATGACACAACTACAAAGTGCACTATGACTTTCTATAATAAAGAGAGCAAGAACAAAGGAGCATCTTCCACTACTTGACAAGACAAAGTTTTTAACTAACAAAAGACAGCAATTATTAAGTAAAGCACCTAACAATATCAAAATAGATTCAATATTTATCAATTTGTATCATAATTAACAACGGTATTGGCCCTGCTGCTAGTCACGTGTTCTGCTAGTAAGCCACTTCATTTAGTTTCTCATAATAGGCGATGGTTTTGAATGGATTTAAAGTACTTGCTCACACTGCGTATTAAATAAAGCAAGTTAAATAATGAATATCGTATAGTTCTTTAATTTGGCAATTTTGCTGTAAAATTGTAATTGGTGGTTTTTAATTTGGCAATTTTTGTGTACACGTGCATTACTGAGCATGCGCATTAATGATTGATGGTTTTAATATTGGCGATTCTGTTTGCAAACCGCTGATTGCCAAAATAAAACTCCACCAAATTAAAGCGTTATACATTATTAAAGGCAAAAAATTGCAAAAGCCAATATTACAAACCACACCAACTCAAAGTATTGCAAGTTTATTATCAAACAATTCCTAAGTATCTCAAACCTAATTTAGTTCAATCACTCTATATTGGACGTGAGTTCCTAACTGTATCACTTTAGCTCCTCCATTAACAGTGAATGACAAGTCTCCATTATTAATGGAGAAGGAGGCAGTGGTAGGTATGGTTTCTACTCCATTGTCTTCCTCTCCCATAACTGGAATGGAGCGAGAATCAACAAGGTACCGCCATAGCGATACTTCAGCATTACCTAGTAATATGACGTAAGATTTAATAAAATACAGATTGTAACAATGTGTGCTCATAACTTAAAAATTATTTGTCACAATCAGCTCAAACTTTTCATATAGCATAACAAAATCAATGTGTATCAGAAAATGTAATAAAAATTTGGGGGTGATTTTAAAGCCATTTTTTGGAAAAAACCACGGGCTATAGCCTTGGGTATTTTTCAGAATTTTGGCATTTTCTTAAAATGGTCGTAACTCAAAAAATTGAAGTTGGAATCAGCTCAAACTTTCTACACAGCATAAGGACATCAATATGCATCAGAAAATGTAATAAAACTTTGAGGTGATTTTGGAGCCATTTTTTAAAAAAAAACCATGGGCTATAGCCTTGGGTATTTTTCAGAATTTTTGCATTTTCTTAAAATGGTCGTAACTTTAAAAATTGAAGTCAGAATTAGCTCAAACTTTCTACACAGCATAAGGACATCAATATGTATCAGAAATTGTAATAAAAATTTGGGGTGATTTCGGAGCCGTTTTTTGAAAAAAACCATGGGCTATAGCCTTGGGTATTTTTCAGAATTTTGGCGTTTTCTTAAAATGGCCGTAGCTCAAACTTTCCAAATAGCAAAAGGACATCAATATGTATCAGAAAATGTAATAAAAATTTGGGGTAAATTCGGACGTCATCTCTCAAAGTTTACATATTCATATTCTTTTATAATGTTATACACTTACCAGAGACTTGAGCCAAACGTCTTATTCTATCAATAATCCTGGGCACAGTGTCACCATCATATATTGGTACAGCCATTGAAAAGAATGGAACACAGTGTTGAGGATTAACAGCAGTTACCATAATAAGAGGCTATAGGTAGAAGTGACAGTAAATATACATGTAATGGTACAGAGAAGTAGATTGGACTATTATAAAGAGAAAGAAGAGTAATAGATAGAATGTGTAAATTTATAAGGCAAAAGTTTTGCTGATTACCGTATAGCAGGTATATTCTGTCAGAGTTTAATTTCGTTCTTTTCGTTCTCATTCCTTGTGGAACAAATATTTTCCAAACATAAAAGGCGTTTCCTCAATGCCACGTGTACAAAATGGCTGCTTAGAACGAAAATAAAACGAATGAAAATTTCTAATCCTGCTTAGAACGAACATTTTTCCAGATGAAATATACCAGCTGTACGGTAATACTTTCACAAATTCTACAAGTACTGTACATAAATGAAAGTTCTATAGTCACATTCAATAAATAATGATGATCAAAAATACAGTCAAGCCTGTCTTTATATTAATAAATAACAATATCTAAATAATAATTAATAATAATAATATTACTTTATAAGGATCAGCAGAAAACACTGATATTGGTCGTCCTGGTATACAGTCTTCCTTAACTTTTGCTTCCTTAGCAAGAGTGACATTCTCCACCCACAACTCACTCAACTATTAATAAAGTCACATGACTATCACATGATGAGGGGCTCTACCTCAAGTGAGCGTGTGAGATAATTGAGACTTCTCTCAAGAGCCTGTCTCTCATTGAATGGAGTCTTGAGATCAAGAGCTTCTTTACCTTTAAGAGCTAAATTAGACTGAGAGGGAGAGAGAGGGAGAGAGAGAGAGAGGGAGAGGGGGGAGAGAGAGAGGGGGAAAGAGAGAGAGAGAGAGAGAGGGAGGGAGAGAGAGAGAGGGGGGGGAGAGAGAGAGAGAGAGAGAGAGATTTCAGCATGTGTACTATGTAGCAGCTTATAACAAGGAAATCTTGGCAATCTTTAATTCTGGCATTACAATTTCAATACAAATTTATTTTTTGGCTACGTGTCATTAAGAATATGTAAAATGAAGTAATATGACAGTTCTGATGCTGAAATTTTTTAGCATAGTATTATCAAGATCAACTGCCAAAATTAAACTTCACTATTAATATTATTATTATAATTATTATTATTATTTAATTACTTTAATGGACTGTACAAAAGGCATCACTTTCTTCATGAATGGCTTCAGCTCCTCCTTCACTTTCAATTTCTGTAGCACAGTGTTATTATCAGGCAATTCATTAGTATCCTAAATAGACAAGTTAAAAAATATCATATAAATAGTCAATTTCTTAGTGACACATACAGCACATGTACATGTATAATATAAATGTACAGAAGATTAAGTTTATCCATGATATATTGTATAAACTCATCGAGGCGACTAAACAAACTTATTTTCAAGAACTATAATTTTAAAAGCTAATTTGGCTGAGGCAAAGCATAAGGTAAGAGCTAATTTGGCAAAAAACATGGAATAGAAAGCAAACACATGACAAGGAGACATCATAAGGAAACTGTTCCTTTGGTTTAGTTCAGTCTTGCCAGTCTAAAAGAGAAAGTGATACTTGTCTCTATCATTCAATATTGAGAATATTTCAATAAGTTTCGCTGTTAATAGAACCAACAGTCACTCTGTTTCTACTTTTGGCCAAATTGAAGGCAAGAAAGCTAGTCCCCACTGTATTAAATACTCAAACTTCCATCCTTTGTGAGTTGATAAATTGAATTGTTAAAATTGTTAGTGATAGTAAAAATGAAGGTCATACTAGTCATTGCTTTATTAATTCAAGTCTCCTTGTCCCTGGAAATACCAGATGCTGATGACAAGTTACACATATACGCATTGCCACTAGTAGGAGGCTGTACAGTGATACAGTGTCCTAAAGGAGAAGAAGATGGAGCTAAAGGAGCAGTAACCATCATTGATACAGGCAAGAGCAGCAGCAATAGTATCGGAGGAAAGGATGTTAAACGTTTCCTCAGTGGGACCACAATTAAACATATATTTCTTACTAACTCGAACAAGAATAGCCGGAAATATTTTAAAGATATCCTCAACTCGTTTAAGCAGTACATCCCCGTACACCACCCGTGCAGCTGGAAGAGTTACGACACAGGGAGCAAATATGCACAGCCTAAAGAGATACAACAGTGTAGCTCAATCAGTGAGTGTGACTACGAAATAGAGTTATGTCCTGGAGTGACAATCTCTGTTGTTGCAGCTGGATTGGGAGAATGTAAAGGTCGTGACGACGGAGCAAATAATATTGATAGCTTGATAGCTAAGATGACATATACTGGTGCAGATACGTATGGCTACGGCACGTACGTAACGGCACTCTTTTCTGGGAATTTTGAAGCGTCTGGTAGCGTCGTTAGCAGGCTCATTGAAAAAGCCGGAGAGGATCTAAGCGCTGATATATATCGGTTGAGTAATGAAGGGAATTATCCACTAGCTAATAGTCGTACGCTCTTAAATGCAATCAAAGCTCGCTATGTATTCACAAGCAGCGAGCATAAGAAGAGTTTGCCACGCTGTGAGATTTACGATTATTACAAGACAAATGATAACATTGATCATGTGGAGCGACACCCTTATACGTGTTACGATGCAAATAAAAAACTCACTAATATTGATCCTGAGGTAGCCCTCTATGGGACCAATGTTTATCAGCCGGACGAAAAGAAATATAAAAAAGTATTTTTTGTGTTGGACTTTTCCATTAATAGCAGCGGGGACATTGGGGTGAAGATGACTAACGCAAAGAACTAGTCACTAGATGGTGTTGAGGACTTAATATTTATTAGGCGAATGTTTGTATATATAGTGAATTAGTTTTTCTTCAGTATTTTTTGTCAAATAAAGTGTACTGTACTTAGATAAATATTATTATCCATATTTCTAGTATTATAGAATCAAATTTTATACTAATTTTTAGTGAAAGTAGTGACACATAAAATATGAAGAAAAAAGGCTTGGAATTAGCATAACCAAATCCCAAAAGGATTAAAATTGCTACACAGTACATAAGATGAAATTGGCACATTTATACAAGTATTGATAATTACTTTATCATATAAACTTTGCAGTGCTGAGAGTATGGACGCCTGCCAGGGAGGATACTCATCAGCTACATAAATAACACCAAACTCAGGCCTTGTCAGTCCAAGACCTTTCTGCAATGAACAAACACAACAAAAAACACATAAATAGATTATAAATATACTTATACTTGATAATATAGATGGAATATAGTTCACTGTAAATGTATAAAAAATCTTTAAAATGCAAGATACAGTATACAAAGTAGTAGAAGAAAAATGATTTGTTTTTTTAGGATTTTATAACTGCCAAATTACAATGTACACGTATGTTACTGTGATAGGTTAAGAGGGAGAGAAGGAGTAATAAAAAGTACCTTTTCTCTTAATTCCATCATTTTTTTCATTCGGACACGAAAGTCGTGAGTGACGTCTGACAGATACTGACTCTCTTTCAATATCAACTCATCAACTGGCTCAGTCTCAGGCCATTTGGCAGCCATTATACTTTGTTCCTATAAAAAGAGAGAGAGAGAGAGAGAGAAGGGGAGAGAGAGAGAGAAGGGGAGAGAAGAGAAGGAGAGAGAAAGAGGGAGGGAGAAAGAGAGAGAGGGGTAGAGGGGAGAGGGGAGAGAGAGAGGGAGAGAGAGAGGGAGGGAGAGAGAGAGAGAGAGAGAGAGAGAGAGAGAGAGAGAGTAAACTCCTAGTTGTACAAAATAAAAAAGATGTTCTTACTTTCCCTAGGAGTCCCCAGATATGTTCAGTAATGTGAGGACATATTGGGGACAGGAGGAGGCACTGAACTTCAATGAACCTCAGGACCAGCTGCCAGTTCATGCCATTCTCCGTTGAACATAAATCCCGATAACGATCCCTAGCAGCCTAAGAATAATAATAATAGTTAATTACTAAAAACTACACTGTCTAATGAAGTACTTAATACAGAGGTGTCCTAATTTCAGAGGTACTTTTGTATAGGCTTGTACCAATTGGGACATTACAAAATGTCCTCATTATAAAGGTGTCCTCATTATAAAAGTGTCCTTATTATAGAGGTGTTATATTGTACATTGAATAGATTTTATATTGTCATTATTATTATTATTATTATTATTATTATTATTATTATTATTTATTACTTGTAGGTCATAGAATCCAGTCTTGATTCCCTCCCTAAAGGTTGCCCTCTCGTAATGATCGTCCGTTAGTTTTATCGCTTTGTTAATCTCGTTATGAAACACTCTATCTTGATAGCTCCAGCTGCTCCTGCCATCATTTCTCATCTCGTCTTTAGCAGCCAAAACTTCCTAATAAATGCATGGGATTCTATTTAATGCACGGGATTCTAATTAATGCACATCTCACAATATACTGAAATTTTACACTGCCATACAGTGTAGCTTGTATATATTTAAAATGTAGCAAAAAAGGAATTCTCACTTTTTTCATTTTTGGCAAAATTTTGGCCAAAGTTGCTGTACTATAGTACAGGGACTTTGGCACCATTTTTAAGGAACTTTAAAAATTCGTAAAAATTCTAAATTTGATTGGAATCAGTTCAAACTTTCTACGCAAAATAAGTACATGTATATGCATCAGGAAATGTAGCAAAAATGAAGAATTCTCACCTTTCCATTTTTGAAAAAATTTGACAAAAGTCCCTTACTATAGTACAGGGACTTTGGTCCCATTTTTGAGCAACTTTTAAAATTCGTAAAAAATCCAATTTTGATCGGAATCAGTTCAAACTTTCTACGCAACATAAGTACATGTATATGTATCAGAAAATGTAATAAAAATGGAGAATTCTCACCTTTTCATTTTTGAAAAAATTTGACCGAACCCCCTGTACTATAGTACAGGGACTTTGACTTGATTTCGGAGAAACTTTAAAAAATTTGTAAAAAAATTAATTTTGATCGGAATCAGCTCAAACTTTCTACGCAGCATTAGTACATGTATATGCATTAGAAAATGTAATAAAAATGAAGAAGTCTCTTGTTTTAATTTTTGGCAAGATTTGCTCTGAGACCATGTACAGGGAATTTGAGCCGATTTTTGAGCAACTTTAAAAATTTGTAAAAAATCTAACTTTGATCGGAATCAGCTCAAACTTTCTAGGCAACATAAGTACATGTATATGCATCAGAAAATGCTATAAAAATGGAGAATTCTCTCCTTTTTATTTTTAGCAAAATACCCTTGGTCTTCAGTAAAATTTTAAAGAAAACTCAAAAATAATTACATGTATTTGACTAAATACTGCATGTACATGTACATATGACAACAATAAGCTACATAAATGAAGTACATGTTGATAAATGTCATGTAGATGTACAGTCTTACTTTGACCCACTCCAGTTGAGTGTACAGTCTCAACAGTCCAGCATCAGCCATTGTAAAGACAAAGTTAGCATCTTCCAAGCCATCACCAGCATCAGCTAATGCTAGCCTTGTACCTTAAGAGGGAGAGGGAGAGGGAGAGAGAGAGGGAGAGAGGAAGGGAGAGAGGGAGAGAGAGGGAGGGAGGGGGAGGAGAGAGAATAAAGAATGAACAGTAGTAAATGTACATGTATAGTGTATGTGTGAAATAAAGAAGTAAATATAATTGATAAACATACCAAAAGAGGATGTACATGTACATGTACATTACAAGCAAAATTTAAAAGAGAGGAAAAAGTGCATGTACATATACTAATGTGTCACTACATATCTACATGTAGATTCCTGTTGCTTACTACATGTACATGTAACTAACCATCAGCTGAGAATCGTTCAATAGATTGTCTCAATGTCAAGAAATTACCAGTGGACTTGCTCATCTAACAAAAGATAGGGGATACATCATTAAGAGTAAAAAACAGATACCCTTCCCTCCCTCCCTCTCTCTCTACCTTTTCAGAATTCAACAAGAGATGTCCATTCCCTCTAATACCCTCGGGCCAGCGACAGTACTCTCCTGACGAGAGGCTCTGAGTCTGTCCCTCAGTACGAGCAGGAGTGGGCCAGATTGCAACATGATTGTACACGAAATACGTCAAGTGGTTTGGGATTAAGTCCTTCCCAGAGACTCTTAGAGTCAGTGGGTACCAGTAGGAGAACTCACGTCTTAAAAGACTATAATATAACAACAAAAAATTAAATAAATAAATAAGATAATTTATTATAAATTTGATGTACATGTATATAAACTAAATCCCATCTTTGCAATTCTTACATTCACAAAAGTACACTTGGTACAGTACAAGCTTTCAAATTTGTCTTCACTGCACAGTTGGCTGTTGTAAACTGACAGACACAATTTAATTTTAAAAATCAAAACACAAGAAAATGTCAAAGACTCAAAAATGGCACCAAACTGATGGTTGCAAAATTCAAATAAACATGAACTTTTTTGTGGAAATATAAAAACTTTTTGATAAAATTTTGATAATAAATGAAATTGAAAGAACAGGACCATAAAGTCCTTTCAAAAATTGGTGCTTCCAGCACACCCATTGCCCTACAAGAGTAGACACTCAGTTCTCAATTGGACCTTATATAGATCCAAAACTAGACAATAGCATGATGGGGCGTCCATTCTAAATATGTTTAAGTACAGGATGTGGTCTGTTAGTAACATAACAGTTATTGTAAGAGAATTTATACTTCAGAGGAAATTAATACAGCATAGCACAAAATTTTCAAGGGCTTTAAATTTTCGTAAAAATCTATTTCACGCATTTAATTTTCACCCTTTAATTAGAAATGATCTAAATTTTCATAAAAATCTATTTCACGCATTTAATTTTCACGCTTTAATTAGAAACAATCTAAAATAATGATACTATAAATAGAACATGATATGCTATACATAATAATTATAGTACATGATACTATAAATAGAATATAATTACTTCAATGATTCAGTTGGTATGTCAGTGGCTGGTGGTGCTCCTCCAAAGAATATGTAATCCCAGACCTCCCTGGATAACTGCTCCGCCCTGTGACATCACATTACATCATAATTAAAACCACATGCATATTACGTAATATACATGTACATGTATACATAAAAGTGAAACAAAATTTGAGTGTATTTGAGCTACTTTGAAAAAAATCAAGGCCAAAATTTGGCTTCTTTAAAATGTTCATAACTTAAAATTTTGCCTCATGTAGTGAATGTACATGTACCTCTATGCAGTATTACATCATATGACATCATCACACTAAATACACCATACTTTATTCCTAGTGGTCCGATCTCAGATCCATCGACCACGCCCCCCTGCAGCAAATGGGCCACAGTGTAATAAGCCATGTATATAGTAGAGTCTGATAGAGACTCAATGACGTATTGAGGGTCCCAGGGTATCTTAGTACCCAGCCCGTAGGAACGGGAGCAGGCGTGTTCATGAAGCCAGTCAAGTGTGGACTCAAAATTGTTACGAGCTTCATCAGAATAACTGTGAGGATTAAAGTAGAATAAAATCATGTATTTAAGTAGGCGTGTTTCCTTTCCTTACACTCGCAATCCTTCCAATGCTTTCCTAGCAGCTGCTTTCCACTCTTTATCGCCATAATCCAAATACCTGGAATATAATATTAAATAAATTTACATGTACATGTATAATGAAGGGATTCATTATTATGAACAAAGTAACCCTTTGAATACTACTAACGTACATGTAGGTACATGTATGACCACCATTGGATCTATAGGATTATACATGTACATGCAGTTCACACAGTACATGTGTACAATGTAGATACAAATGTACATGTACATGCATAGTGAAGGACTTCTAAGTTACATTATACACGCAGTTCACATGCATTAACATGTACATGCATTATAGCTAACCATTCATCACATAATGTAATGTACAATGTACTTATAAATGTACATTGTACATGTATGTGTATTATCAGTCTTACCATTGGTCACAGAGTGCTACCACACACTTATCTCCTGATCGAGATATGATAGTCTTCTCTGGCTCTTGATAAAGGACAGCTTCATTATTATCAACCATCAATGACTGGACCTTCTTCTTGGCATCTTGAACCTTCTCACCTTTACACAAACCAACCGTCATTACCTGAAATATAAGTATATAAGCATAATGGGTTTACTAGCATTTCCTGACACATATACATTTACATATACATTACCTGAAATATAAGTATACACATATATATGGATTAATTTACTTTATTAGCAGTTTCTGATGCATATACATGTTCTTATGTTGTGTAGAAGTTTGAGCTGATTCCAATAAAAATTAGATTTATAATGAATTTTTAAAGTTGCTCAAAAATTGGGCCAAAGACCCTGTACTATACCATATAAGTGGTTATTTTTGAGGGTTGCAAATTTTGTGGACTCGCGAAAATTAAATCCGCAAAATGTGGTAGAATTTACGAAATTAAAATCAAAGAATTGGAATTTTATTAGATTTCACAAAATATAGGACCCATGAAAATTACCGGCTATACGGTAGTACACCAAATTTTGGCAAAAAAGAACAGGAGAACATTCTCCAATTTTATTATAGATGTACATGTACATTGCTGTTCTTGCATTAATACTTACTCCTTCATAGAATCCTTTAAGGTAAGTCATTTCCTTTGCTTTGTCAAGCTGCACTCGATCATTCTGTGACTGAACCTTCATCTGGTCACAAGCAACCTCTGCAGCCATGTCACCCAAACCAGGTATGTGGATGATTGGAACCTGAATCAGAATCAAGTATGGGAATGGAAGTATGGAAGTATAAAAAATAATAAAATATTATTTGATGTTCTTACAGGATCAAAAGGAAGGACCATTTCATCTTTAATACCATACTTCTCCCTAAACGCCTGCAGGAAATAAATGTTTAATTATATACTGTAATATAATAGTGATAGTAATGTTAATAGTGATAATAAAATAATTGGTGACTTAAATAGTGTATGTACATGTACATGTACATAAAGAGATTAAAATTAAAGTTTTTACTTTCTTCTTCTTGAGGTCTCTCAAAGCAGCATAATCATCAGGAGCATCTGATGGAACTGAAGTAACTACACCAGTACCTAAAGCATGATAATATAATAATAATAATAATGTCAGGACTAGCGTAATATTGTAAATCCGGCTTTACGCTCTATGTTGAAAGTCATTGTGGAGAATTTTGAATTCACCTGGGCTCATTAATTATTCATAGCAATTGGGGGTGTGGTCAATTAATTAAATGCCTGAAAAGTTACTGAAAGAAGCCAGTTACCACACTAAAAAAACTGATACTACATACAAGCAGTTGTGGTTATAAAAAATGAATTATAGTGATGATCTCATAATAACAAAACACACCTTCAGTTTTGATTACCCCCCACTACCAGATCCTGCAGCCTCCTATGAGGCTATGAACCATTTATTCAATAGATAAGAACAGAACGTGTGGAAAATAAAGGCCAATGCACACGAGCAAATTAACGTATATGTTACGACAGGAAGTGCTTCTATCCTTACCTTACGTAAACGGTGGTCATTGGTTTATAGAGCACTTCCTAGTGCATGTTCATTTAAGGGCTTTTTTTATATCTCAGTCAAAAAAGAAAGCCTAGCTGTATTCTTAGGACATTTATAACAATAACAAGAAAGGAAACGAAAGAGGAACAATAATGGATCAACCATCTATCTTCTTCATACTACTTGGTATACTAATTGCAACTTCATTTATCTTAACAATTATAGTGGCAATAGCCGGCTGTGTCTGTCTTACACGAGAGGAGATGCTAAGGAAAGTGTTTCCATTCATTAAAAAGAATGGCAACCATAATGTGATATTTGGATATATTATTGGCAAAAAATCTATCAAGTGCCTTTACTATCAACTAACATTGGTTGTTGCATTCACTCTAACTGATATCTTATGCAATACTATTGTCTCCATCTCTTTTAAATACAATCCTTATGATGGACTCAACTGTTATGGGTACTGCAACAATGGCTCAACAATTAAGGTGACTTCAGAAGAACAAGCTGACATGGAAGAAGTATTGTCAATAATATGTGTTGGCTGGAATTTTGATATTGCAAGAGCAATAGGACATACAGTAGCTTTGCTGACAATTGTATGGATATTAGTATATATAGTACTGTGGATCAAATTAAAGTGGTGGAACAAAATCATTACTTGCGCTCGGAATCGTCAACTACGACTTAGTAAATGTTGCCTCTGTATGTTGTTTATATCTCATTTTTTTTCCCTTTTTTGGATCCCATTTGCAATAATAGTAGGAGATTCGGTCATTTATCTATTACTTACATCATCTGATTTACCTCCAAATGGTACAATAGACCTCTTATTAATTAGTATTGTACTGCAATCAGGGATAGCAATATTCCCTGGTCCAAAGAAATCAAAATCTTTGGCAGAATACTGTAGAGAGGCAGTGGAAGATAACCAAGGAGAAGAAGAAGGAGCTTTAGTACCAATAAAAGACAGATTAAGAGAGAGAAGAGTCCAAGATCATAGAATTGACATTGATCTTTTAGTCGAACTGGCAGAACAAGAATGTAAGAAGACACTGGGTGACATGTATCACTATGGTACTGAAGATCACATTAACACTATCTATGAAAATGAGATGAAGACAATTGCTCAAGTTGCCTACCATAAGGTAACCACTAATGATGGAGGAGCGCAGTATAATAATGGCCAACAATACAATACAAGACAAGGTGCATCTATTAATGGCCCAACAGAAAGAGATAGACTACTAGGGAACACCAGAAGAAATAACAATAACTATTCACATTTCAACTAACAACAAAACTGATAAACATTGTGTCCTAACTGTATACCTTTCCTACTAATTACTACTGATTACTACAAATAGTTGTTCTACTAAATACTACTACACTCCCTACTTGCTTTAATTACTACTAATTACTTTTGCTGTCTACTGTAGTTATTTTATTTTTAGTTGTTAGCTATTTGAGTATTAATATGACAATATGCACGTGTATGGACTGTGGACACCCACAGAGCCCATGTGACACTCATGTGACATACACATGTACCTTTGTCTTCCTTTATAGTGAGCATTGGCAGTGTATATATGACATCATAGGAGGTCAATGGAGCCTTCAATGACAATCCTAATATATCCTGGGGAGGGGGAGGAGGAGGAGGAGAATAAAATAGAAAAAGATTGAGAGAGGAATACAAATGTACATGCATAAGTACACATACACATTCACACTTATTCTTCATTCAAAAGCTTTTCTCAACGGTATAAAAGGATGTCTCAAGCTGTAGTACCATATAGTGCGAAATCTTCGAGGGAGTTAAATTTGGTGAATTGCTAAATTGCAAATTTATGGTCACGTGCCGTATAATGGCTCAAAATGGCAGATTTTATTTTGGCAAATGGCTATCAAAACGCCAAATTCACTAAATTCAACTCCCTCCTTCTATACAGTATATTCCTAGTCTTACCTTTCCCTTTAGTGTCAGTACTGGCTCAACTTTCCCAAAATCCTTCGTAAACCCCTGACACGACATATTAAGAGCCGAGCGCCGAGTACTAATGAATATTTCCCCAGAAGTCAATTCATAAGCCACATAATCCAGATCAGGATGGACCCAGCAGTTGGTCTGACCGAACATTGTCTCTGGACGTAAGGTGGCGGCTACCAGGAACACTGAGCGACCAATCAGAGACCTGGAATAAATCACATGATAGCAATAAATAAATAAATGATAAAAAGTAAAATCATATGTACATGTACATATGGAACTCCTTCTATGGTAAAGGGTATATATACATGCATGTAGGCAATGATGTGGAAACTGCCAGACATGCCAGTCATTGTCTGGTATTGGTGAATTTTGTCCGATTTTGGGGTCCATTGAAAGGACAAAATGACTGTTAATTAATTCATTTTTAACAATAGCAAATGGACAATTTATAGTGTGAAGTTGGTGCAGCTACAAGAAATAAAATAGTGGCTTCAAATGGGACAATGTTTAAGACTTTCCAAAGCAGAATAAGCCATTTCTAAACATCTAATGACTTGTCAACTACTTGTTGTACGTGCCATTGGCCTAGCATCATTTTCATGCATTTTCTTGGTATCGTGCTAAGTCCGTTAGTATTAACAGTGAATAGGACAAATGTCTGGTAGCAAAATTATTTTTTCCACATCTCTGCATGTATGCATGTACATGTATATATTACTTTTTCTTTGGTAAATGTACATGTACATTATGATGCACTTTTCATTTGGCTACAAGTGATTATTGATTACACAATGTATAACAATCCTTATTACTAATAACACTGTTCATAATAATAATAATTGGTCATTTTGTTTGGTACGGGCATTAATTAGAATAAAACAAATGTTAATTACCAGGTGCTAAATTTTAATTAACATACAACAAAAACATTAATAACATTTATAATAATATTTTTACTTTATTTTGTCAGGGAATGGTTCCAAAGCTTTCATCTTAATAAGTGTGTACTCTTGGGGCCCCACCCCCTCACCAGAGATACGATCATGATCCATACAGGGCTGACCGTCCTTTATTGAATAGATAGTGTGTCTGAAGAGAGAGAGGGAGGGAGGGAGAGAGGATATAGTGCTGTATATAGTGTTTGCTCTTAATATTGTGAGGGCAGAGGTTTCCTACAGATCTCAGAGTGTGTTATTGACAAACTGCAGACAAAATGTGCTTTAGAGTAACTTTTAAAATTCGTAAAAAATCTAATTTTGATCAGACTCAGCTCAAACTTGCTACGCAGCATAAAAACATGTATATGTAGGAAAAATTATAAAAATCGAAAATTTATCACCTTTTCATTTTTGGAAAAATTTGGCCAAAGTCGCTATACTAAAAGTCACTATACTATAGTACAGTACTTTTGTCCAATTTTAGAATAATTTTAAAAATTTGTAAAAAAATCTATTGTACCTTTTTCCAAATTTAACTTTTCCTCTATCCTTCAGTGTCAGAAACTGCCACCTCACGAATGAATCATAATAAGGATTGACATCAGTAGTGATGAATGACCTCCGCCAATCAATCTGTGAACATATTAATAATAAATAAATAATTACAATTGCACATGTGAATTTTATAGTAATACCACATTATTGTGGTATAATGTACAGTATAGCCTCTTTATTGGGCCCACACTACCTGTCCTTAATACAGAGGTGTCCTCATTTCAGAGGTACTTTTGTATAGGCTTGTACCAATTGGGACATTACAAATGTAATCATTATAAAGACGTCTTTACTATAATAGAGAGGTCACATTGTACACATGCAGTAGTACATAATGAACAGATATTCAGTAGTTTAAATAATACATAATAATAATACATACACACTATACTGTACAAAATGTACGTGTATCTGAGTTACGAATTGATCGGTAAATATACATGTACATGCATTATATAGAACAAATACAGTATACAACAGTTAAGGCTGGTTCACAATATTACGCTAGTCCTGACGTTACGTTGACGCTGGAATCAAATCTGGTTTGATTCCAGAGGAAAGCATGCGTCAAAAGGTCAAATCGCCCACACTTTTGATTAAAAATTGACGGTACGTTGGCCTAGCGTCATATTGTGAACCAGCCTTTACACAGTTGTTGAGTAGTGCAGCTATTAATGTTCATGTACAGTATGCAGTGATTGGGTGATGGTAACTCACTCTTAGTCCAAGAGCCTCCAAGTCTTCCTTAGCCAAAGGAGGGAAATACTCCAACCAGTGACTAGCATCAGCAAACCTTTAATATGAACAAGTTAAAATAAAATAAATAAAATAATAATAATTATTACATGTACCATTATTGGTGGGAGTAATATTTGGCAAATTTGCCTGTGGAAAGAAATTGGTGAATTTTATATTGGCGATTTTGTGTCACGTGCCATTGAGCATGCTCAGTTTGAAACAAAATGGCGGATTTTATATTGGTAATTTCTTCATAGAACCACCAATTGCCAATATTACATGTAATTCCTTGCCAATAAATCATCTTGTACGGTAAGTATTAGTAACGCGGTAGCGTTACTAAGTAGGATTCACCCCCAAACAAAATGGCTGCCACGACTTTTGCAGCCTTGCTATTAGACTACATGTACATCTACAAAATGATGAAATTACTACTATTAACCTTATGTACATGTACATGTACATGTACATGTACATGTACATGTACATGTATATTAATAATAATAATAATAATAATAATAATAATAATAATAATAATAATAATAATAATACAATACATTAATGTTATGTTAGTTCCTCTTACTTGGCTATCATATCATCACTCATTCCGTAGTTCCTCATAATGTTCCACTGGTAATTAGGACCCCCTCCTCCCTTAGCCACAACTTTACTCTTTACCTAATTAATGCCCATCAAACACACCCACACATGTAAATCACATGATCACCTTCTTGGCACGTTTCGTCGGATCAACCTGAACACTGGTCCCCACCTCTTCTGGCTCCTCCTTCTCAACCACTTCAGGAAATTTAGGAGGAAAACCGAAATCCTGTCTCTCCATTTTCAATTTATCAGCACAGGCCTATATACATGTACATGTACAGTAATATTACTTAATGTACCGTATATTCTTAAATAAAAGCCGGATGCAAATAAATGCCGGGTAGCAATAGAATTGAACTATAAACCGCTGCTAGGCCAAGTTTTATCTTACTTCTTCAAAGTCCAAATGCCATTTTAAGAAATAGACGCCCGGACTTTTATTTAAGGAAATACCGTATAGCAGGTAATTTTAGAAGAGCTAAAATTTGGCAAATTGCTAAATTTTGGTGGTTGGCGGATTTTAATTTGGCAAATTTGTGGCCACGTGTCATTGAGCATGCGTATAATGGCTCAAAATGGCAGGTTTTTATTTTGGAGAATGGCTATCAAAACGCCAAATTCGCCAAAATTAAACCCTTCCAAAATTACTTGCTATACGGTACGGTACATGTACATGTACAGTATTATCACATGACTCTCACATGATCCTTACCTTAATAGGCATACCAGTACAATGGAATGCAAACGGGAACAAACACCTCTTCCCTTTTAGACGATAGTACCCTACAGAAAACTGTTACCGAGGCAACAATTGTCATGGCAACGGTTGTCAAGGAAACGATAGTCTTACCTCTGCCTATAAAATAAAAATTGCGGTCACTCATTTAGTATAAAGGAAAAGGTGTGGTCTGTTTCTATGGTAACCTTACCTTTGATATCGTGAAGGTGTGTCCAAGGTGGAGCTGTCCATTCATGTATGGATAGGGAAAGGTCACAAAGTATCTGTTACTGTGATCAAACTCAGGACCTCTGTCTTCTGGCTATTAACAAGGATTAAATTAAAAATAATTATAATATTATTATTGTTATTATTATTATTATTATTATTATTATTATTATTCTTACTTTAGGTGCATCAATTTCAAAAGTACATTCTCTCTTCCATTTAGCTTGACACACTCTCTCTATCTCCCTCAATGTATCTTTCTTGTAAAACTAAAATGAGAGAGAAAGAGAGAGAGGACAGGAAAGACTAATACTGGACTCACTGTCATTCTGTATGCTATGCCACGTGCTGCCATGGGCGTGGCTATCCCGCCTACCTTTTATTTTAATAATTAAACTGCTTGCAGTGAATTGCAGCAGAAATAACTGCAAAGCTAGTTAATCACGTGACTCTCACCATACTAGTTGATACATGTCACGTGACCAGAAAGCGATGTGTAGTAAGAAAATTCGGTCAAGCAACCTGCAAAGTGTATAATGTTAAAAGACAGTAAACGACACCATGTAAACAATCAGTACATTGTGCTATAACAAAATACAACATAATGTTAGGATAGAAAATTAAAAAAAACCTAGCCTATAGCATCAAGAATAAGAATGAATCACTATTGGTAACTGTCTGTAAGGCTGTTCCTGTTCATGTTTACTAAGCAATAACCTTTTGTGTTCTTCAAGGAAATCATTTAGAATTTCTTTTTCATCTTTGGCAACGATCTGGATATATTCAATTGAGGGATGAGTGAATACAGTTTCATAGAAATGCTGTGTTGTTTCTCTCCAATGATCAATGGATAGAAGGAAATCATTATCTTTAGTACATTTTATCCTCAATTGCCTGATGGTTGTACTTGATTGTAACATGCCCATAACAGCAAGAATAAAGTGTGTCCCATTAACTTGTGAATCTAGCTCAAAGTTTATCTCTGTAAGATATTTCATATGAGAAATGGCATCAAATGCAGATTTCACCTCCTCAGTGGTTGAAATTGAAATATGTACACTCTGTAGACTGGTATTGTATTTGATATATGATGGTGGGAAATAATATAAGGTATAATAACTGTGCTCATTCTGACCAAAAATCTCAAAGTATGAAAGTGTTTGGTTAAGCCTCAACATGTTCTGTACATTGATATAAACATTTGTAGTTAATATTGTTATGTTCACTTTCAAAGCTTTAAGTGTAGTATTGTTTTGTAGAATGGTTAAAAGCTCACAAACACTTTCCTCTGTATCCAATGATACTTCAAGTACACAAAGATTTGGATGAGATGAAAATATAAGTTGCAATGGGTGTGAATAAGGCTGTACATGTATCAGACAGTGTAATCCATCACCTTGTGGAAGGAGTGGCTGTGATGTTGTAAAACCTCGTATCTCTAAAGCTTTCAATGGCATATTTATCTCCTTTATTTTTAGTGATGGTGTATCACTATCCTGTGTATGCAGTAAAGAAGAACTGCCTACGTTCAGTGATAAAGCTTTTATTGTAGTATTCTTTATTAGTAACTGCTCAAATATTCCTTCTGGTATATTGGTCGAATATAAATGAACACGAAATGATGTTATAGTTTTATTCTTTGTCACACCTTTAATGACAGCAGTAACAGTATCTAAAAATGCATCATGATTTGTTTTAATTCTCATTTCTTGTACTGTTGTGTTTTTTTCTATACAGTTTTCAAGTTCCATACTAGCATCAATTGGTTTATTTGCTACTGCAAACTCGGGACTGTTCGATATTAAATGAAAATGCAATATTTTCAGCTGTGAAAATTTGAATAACTGTAATAATATCAAATAAGTGTTGTAATGGGCTTCAATATGACAGTAAAAATAACACTCTTTTATACAAAAAAATGAGATTTTCTTTGCTAATGCAATACCATCATCTACTCCATTCATATATAAAATACATTCAAGTAAGTTGGATGTTAGAGAGCCATTAGTTAGTCCTGAAGTAAAGGTGTTCATTTTCTGTTCATTTAATGCTCCCAGGTCCAGGTGATTCCACTTTGTGTTGGAATTATCAATGAAATAACTAAGACACAACCAGTCAAACAAAGACAATGTTGCTCTATCAAGACAAAATGATTGATTAGCAATGGACTGTGCTAATACTTGACACAGTTTTGTGTTCTGTGATTCATAAATTAGCTGAATAAGAAGAATCGGAAATTCATCAAAACAGATAGATAAATAAGTATAAAATAGTAGATCATCATATATGTCATATAGCACTGGTTTGATAGCAGGATTCAAATAAAATTCTGAATGGCTACAATTCTCAAATTCAGTTGATGCTTCTTCCATATACTGCAAGCCAAGCTGCTTAGCATTAAAATACTGTTGATAGCTCTCATGTTCAAGGTGAGTTAGACCTGCCACAAACCTCAGACACATTCGAAAGTGATCATTATCAAAGTGATCCTTAAACACTTCCTCTGTTTTCTCCTCATGCTTAGCTATCCACCATGCAGCTAGAAATTCCTGTATACTCAAGTGAAGGAACTGATACTTCTCCTCGTCATATTCCATGAAAGTCGTCATCAATCCAAGATAGTCTTCCTCACTCAGTGACTGTAGTTGATGTGAAGAGAATGTCATTTGTGTACTGGCCAAGTTAGTATAAGCAATTCGACACAATTCCAGAAAATGTTTTGCTAACTCTGGAGGTAATGAAGAAAGACTACCTAAAGTACGTGGGTTAATGTCATGTCTTTTAACATGTCTTCTGATAGTTTGTAGGATAAAGTTCTCATACAGTTGAGTGAGCGTTGTTGGTAAGTGTCCTCCTTCTTTACGATAAACTAAGATAACCATGGAACAGACTAGTGGTACATAACACAATGATTTAACATCACCTCGTATTTCAAGATCGTTAATGAGTTTCATTGCTAGATGTGAATCAACAGAATCCTCAAGTGTTTCTCTTATCACATTTGCTATTTGTTTCTCTGAAAATCCACAAACTTGTATGTGTTTGCTAAGGGAAGACATTTCTAAAAGTGAAGAGGAAGCATAGCTACGAGAGGTAACAATAACTGAGCAATGAAATAGCATTTCTCTGTGGATGATGCTAGTAGCTAATGAGGACTGCCTGAATTGCTCACTTAATTCATCCCAACCATCAAAAAATATCAATAATCCTTTACCATGATTATTTTCAAACCATTCAGCTATGGAGGACATGGCATGTGCACTACTTCGATATATAAATAAGTCAGCAATTGTTTTTGCTTCAGCAATCTTAGCATTCCTTAAAGGACAGTAAAGTACCAGGTCATAGTGCTGATGTACAAGTGATCCATTGGACCACATGTTTAACAGTTTACGACAGAGTGTTGTCTTGCCAATACCAGGAGGACCGTCTATTACTACTCTTAGAGAATCTTTATTTTTTGAGGGTGCTAAAATATTTTTAACTGTTATTTCTCTATTACCATGCAATCTAGGTATCCTATCAATTTGACCCCTTAGCAGATACCAAGCTGTTTCTACTTGCGAAACAAATCGATCCTTCTCTACTAGTGCTAATCTTCCAAAAAAGTCTTTCCCAACTCGAGGGGGCCAGTCGGTAGCAACAATCAGTTCAGCGTTGTACTTTTGTCTCATAATTTCAGCATATTCCAGCACATCATTAGGAACTGGTTCAACCAAGTGTGAATCATGATGAAGTGAATCAGCAATGGATGGTGTATCAGTATCATCATGTACCAATGACTGTACTGACTCTTCTATATCAGAATCAACAAAGGATGGTGTATCAGTATAATCATGTACCAATGACTGTACAGACTGTCCTATATCATTAAAATAATAATAATTCTACTGATTATATTGAATTATTATCTAATATACCTAAGGTTGGTTGGCTGACAGTAAGATTTGTTTGTTGTAATTCAATGATTCCTTGTTCTTGCCTAGGCTGCTCATTATTATTATTTCTGCACATCATTTTACAAAACCACTGCCAACACTTAGCAATAGTACTAGTATGCTCCATTGAACTACCTGTAAATGAGGCATAGATTAATTGCATATTTTCAATTATTAATCATCAGTTGTATGGACACACACAAACCCACACTCACACATTATTATTATTGTTTGGACACACACACACTGTGTACATGAAAGGCAATTAATTTTGATTATCAGCTACACTTAAGCGTCACCGCAATTAGACTATAGTTACAGTATTCTTACTTAGAGATGCATGGGATGTTCCCATAGGAGTGACTGTAGATTGACCTGTTAAAAACAATAAAAATCAACATAATTATGAACACATTATACACTTTATTCATATTACACTACACAGAGATCTAACAGTCTTTACCTAATTGATGCAATATAGACTTAGCAATATCTTTCAACTGACGATCTCTTTGATTTCGTAATACACCACAGATATTAATCAGGTACTGTTGTTGATCTAAAGAGGATTCCAATCTTCCTTCAATAGCCAATACAAGTCGGGCGGCTCTTTGGTCGTTAGATAAAGCAGTTGTGGTTATTATCTCTTCTTTTGTTCCGTGTGGTATCAAGTCTTTGGCATATAGTGCACTAGTTAGTTCATAACAATTAGAGGCAACAGTTCGGGTGAGATCATAAGAATGGATCTGTAACACTTCCCTTGGATTACCTACAAAATTGGATTAATAAAAAATGCAATGAAGCCAACCATAAATGAAGGAATTGAAATTCTATTGCAGGCAGCCTATGGTATATCTAAACTACAGTTACAACAACTTCTTCAGTTTGATGAAATTGCACCCCAGATTGCAAGCAATAGAACTGCCTTGTGAATGCATGGATAAAACTGTATTTTAATCTTACCAGGGCCTGGGTTGAGTTCAATGTCTCCTGATAAGAGGAGGAGGAGGAATATTATCAAATAAAAAGAGGAGCTGGTCATGTTAGTACTGTACACAGCAAAGTGTAGCAGCATCAACGAGTAGAGTACTTGCTTGACTGCAGTACCAGTTGTATAATGCAGTTGGGAGTAGCAGTAATAAGAAATAATTCCTATAAAAAACATTACATAGTGAATTGTACAATCATAACAATATTAATTGTACCTATTAAATGAATGAAATGGTTCATCAGTAAAATGATCATCAGAAAAACATGAGAAAGAGCCAAAGCAGTAGCTAGATCACATCTCTTGCCTAGTGAGGATGTACTGTGAGGTTTAAATGAGGAGCTAGTAGCAGGTCCACTGCTAGTAGATCTACCAGCAGCTAAACAGCAACTCCACAGGCCAATACTTGCTCTCCATTGAGAAAGATCAATCATCTTGTAAACAAAGGTGCAGATAATGAACTATCCAGTGACTAAAGACAATCAGTTACTTCAAGTATACATAAATCCACTCAGTAATCTAAGAGCTACTCAAGCCTAAGGTGAACAAGATTACCACAGCCCTTAAACCCGACACTACTAAAAAGTGTTATAATAACTCTTACCAAAAAAAGATATGTTAGAATTTATAAATTGTGGTATGTCACAACTATATCGTGCTTTGCAGGTTGTTTTACCAAAGCTTTCTCACTAACACATAACCTCCTACCTCCTAGTCACATAACATTTAGTGAAGTATAGTAAGAGTCAAGTAGCCTGCTTGGAAATAATGGGTCAAGCAAGCATCAGATAGCTATAACAATAGGAATGCAATCTATAATGCTTCACTATTAACAATCTGATAGTATACAGTACATTTGATGTCACATCTACAGTTCCAGTTCACAAACAATACGTGATACAACTGAGTCAAGTGTTAATCAAAGGCAGTTAGGTATCAATCATACACTCAATGACTATGAGTGAATGATATGAATCCAATCAAAGGCAGTTAGGTATAGTAATGGGTCCTCTCTGTATGAGTCTCCTTGTAGCATAGCAACCCTGGGCCTCTTTACTCTTCTTCTTCTTAACAGGCGGAGGTCCCTCCCGTAGCTTCAGGAAATAATGAGAATAATACTTGTACATTTTCCCTGATTGACCCTTCCCATGGTATCGGATACGCTTGAGGTAAGTTCCTTTGCCAACATAAGAGGCAGACACATAGAGGTTGTCCGGATTGGCTTTGTGTATCTGAATAGCATTCCTCTGGGTCTCTTTTATTGTCTGAGAGAAGAGGGAGAGAGGAAGAAAGGAAATGAATAAAAAAGATTAAAATATAAATTAATAATCAGGACATTACAAATACAAAGGAATGAAATGAAAAATAATTATAAAGGGAAATTAAGTTAAACAGGTCATTACAAATACAAAAGCAATGAGAAATGGACAAACGAATGATAAATAGTAATAAAGACAAATCAAGTTAAACAGGTCAGAATTAGGACATTATAAATGCAATGTAGAATAGTATCACCTGCATCAGTCAAAATAGACACCTACATGCATGGGTCAGCCATTACTACAGTTTATATAGAGGAGTGTCTTTAAATCAGATGATAGTGATACAGAATAGAGTGGTTCTACTATACAAAGGACCTTTTATACACTACCTAATATGGTATTATGAATGGGACAACAGCAACTGTATGTCATAGATCTAGTGAAGTGTCCAGTAACCAGTGGTTCCTTTTAGTGAGGATTGATTGTAGCATGTACATGTAGATTGACATTACCATCATCATTACTAATAGGTTACTTATCTGACTAATACCAACACAAAAATTATACATGTATAATCATGCTGAATGTTTTAAAGTTCTGTATTAATGTATTAATTATTTATACTTACGTCTTTGATAAAAGTAGCCACTTTCTTATCCGAATATTCTAATTGAACCAAAGCATCTACAACCTTCATTCGCCTTATCTGAAGAATGAATAATGAAGAAGATAGACTTCATTACTAGTGTAGACTTTATTTAGGAGCATTTTTATAAATTTTCCTAATACATATACTTTGACCTGATTCTGATCAAAATTATAATTTACAAAGTTGCTCAAAAATCAGGCCAAAGTCCCTAATACAGGGTCATTGGCCAAATTTCGCCAAAAATAAAAAGGTGAGAATTCTTCAATTTTATTACGCTTCCTGATGCATATACATGTACTTATGTTGCATAGAAAGTTTGAGCTCATTCCAATCAAAATTGAATTTTTTACATTTTTTTAAGTTGCTCAAAAATTAGGTCAAAGTCCCTGTACCATAGTACATGGTCATTGGCCAAATTTCGCTAAAAATGAAAAGGTGAGAATTTTCCATTTTTATTACATTTTCTGATGCATATACATGTACTTATGTTGCGTAGAAAGTTTGAGCTCATTCTGATCAAAATTGGATTTTTTACGAATTTTTAAAGTTACTTAAAAATCAGAAAGTGCTAAATACATTATTATTATTACAAAATGGCCGTCAGTACAAACTACAGTTGCTTACCACTTTAGCAACAAGATTCAGCTTCTGTGGGCTCGTCTTCACTTGCTCACAACGACCATAAAACTCCTAAACAACATATTAATGACACTTCACTGTATCATTAACATACTCTATAGGGAGGAGCCTGTTCTTGTACTGTAGAAACTGGAGTAGTAGTAGAAGCAACAGAAGTCATCCTATAACTACAGACCCAATAATACCAATAATATTAATAATAAATAACTTACAATTGATGTCTATGGGGGACTAGAAACCTCCTAAAAGAGGAAAGGATAGAATTTGCTTTGGACGCCATGACAGTCCACGTGTAATAAGTAGGTGTGACATATTATTAACTGAGCCCGCCCACGCACTACAAGCCACCCTCATGCAAACGATGCAGTCGGTAAATATTGACAGTTTTTGCAGCCACACGCTATCATACTCTACTCCTACATTGCATAAAATAACAAACACTACATTATAATAGTAACTAACAAAGCTCTGCCTTCCATTCCACTCAGCATTATAGTATAAAGATTGAGAGAACCAGCTACTCTATATAGATCTATGGCCCGGAAGAGTAGATCAAGTGTTGATATGGGTGAGGTAAGATCATTAGACTTATATGTAGGATTTCTATTGACTAATATCTATTGTTTTCTTAGTCTGCAATTAAACTGGCCCTCAGAGAACCAGTAAGTATACTGTATAACATTCTTTGTATTATACTTTCACTCTGTCATCATTGTAAAAGATTAGCTCCTCATTCAGAGCTCATGAGATGATAGATATTAACAATACATGCACACAAACACACTATAACATGTACTAAAGCCTCAAGCTCACAGTGCTATAGAACAGCATCACTGATTATTACAGTACAGTATAAATCTATAATCACATATTGGTATAGATTCATATTCATTATTAAGAACTTGAGCATATGGGCTTAACACACTATAGCTACATACAGTGTTAATATTCATTATACAGGATGGGATAATAGTGAATTACATTATTGATGATGGGACGCCATTGGAGCTACTCATGAAGACGTACTGTCAGAAAAAAGAACACAATAGGAAGAACGTCACATTCACATATCTAGGGACACCAATACTGAGCATGCAGACTGCAAAAGACCTCAATATGAAGGACGGAGATACTATTGTAATACAAATTAATGAAGTAACACAAAAATGATGTATTTTAATATGACTATTTTTATCTTTTTATTGTCTCCACTTAACTTCTTTATATGCATACAAAATGTGCATTAAAAATATTAAAATAGCTTGCTTGCTTTTTGAATTAAAAAACCTCTTAAAAGTTTAACGATAATATTATTATGATCCAGACATTGCAAAGCTGGTTCTCTTTGCTTGTCCTAATTCCTGATCATAACTATTCATTTACACATACATATACAAATAATCCATTAAAAGTGTCACCACTGGCTAGTTCTTTGCTTGATATTTCTATTGCTACTGCTTGACTTCTTCTTAAAACTAAATCCTTTAAATGACCCAGTCATCATTCCTCCATCCTCTCTCTTCACTTGTGGGTCTAAGCCACTATTGCTGCTGCTTTGTGGGTGAGTTTTTTCTTTAAAAGTGTAGCCTTCTTCTTCGTCAGAAGACACTTGAAGTCGGCTTGATTTAGATTGTGAAGGCTGTGCTTCTTCTCTCTCCTCTTGATCTTCATCTTCTTCCTTTTCCTCTTCAACAATTTTCTGTGCTCTACAAAAATAAATAATGATTACTATTAATCAGAGATATTACCAGAACATTACTGCCTGCATATAAGTATAGGAAGAAAGGAAAACTTGAAGACTATTAAAGTAGCAACTATATTCTTACCTTACTGCAACAGTTTGCCATGAGCCATAAGGATCAAACCTCTTGGCAGGAGGAGGTTTCTCTCCTTCTCCACTCTCCTCTCCTCCTTCTTTCTCTTCATCATCATCATCACTGTTTTCTGTGTAGTATTTAACTCTAGCCGCTAGCTCAGTGAATGGCTGCTGTAAGAACTCATCTTTCTCTTGTTGCTGTCTCAGCCATTGAGCTTGAATACTATCATCCTCAACACTAAAAGATAATAAAAATACATTAGATTGGATACATGTACAAATACATGTACATGTTATTTCAATATTTCTAACACTTGATGCATAATTAGAAGTAACATACATACCGTATTAATAAAACTTTACTATTAATAATAATAATAATAATAATAATAATAATAATAATAATAATAATAATAATAATAATAATAATAATAAAAGATACATATACCTGGTAATGTTACTAGTATTTGAAGATGAGACTGGTACTATAGATCCTTTGGCGTTACGAGTGAAAGTACCAAAGACTGAAGAACCTTTAGGAGCACTGGACTGCACTGTACTCTTAACTGATGTATGGGAGGGCGTGGTCTTGAGTTCAGGTGGACACTCCCACTGAGAAACTAAAAAATAAGTAATTTTATTTTAAAGTTTTTTTTACATTTTAATTAATTAATATTATTAATTACTTCCGGTCAAAATGTGATAGTAATAGATACGACCTTCAGGTGATAACAACTGTTGCCATGGTGATGGTGGGGGCGGAGGTGCTGCTACGTCCTATAATAGCAAAAATATCATGAAGTCATACTAATAATAGTCTAATAATAATAATACTAATAATAGTCTATACAATATGCACACATGTTCATGAATGAAGTAAAACAAGACATTTTGTGGCCTAAAGTTTTTTGTAAACCCATTATCTAATTTTAGGATATTCTCAAATTTGTTTCGTGAATTTTCAAAATTCATGGAAATTCCAGGGTCACAAAAGTTACAGTAAAACACACTCATTATATTAATTAAATAATTCAATAGATACAATATGATCATTACTGTAGAGCTCTTAGCCTCTCCTCCTCCTCCTCCACCACCACCTCCTCCTCCTCTCTTTGGTTTTGACTTCATTTTCTTTTCTTCTTCAGCTATTGCTTTCTTAAGATAAGAAGAATCCTTCGCTGGTAGACCTTTCTGGTCTCTTTTATAAGCTGCTTCTGCTGCCTAAGAATAATAATAATAAATAATTAATAATTAGAAGATAAATGTAAAACATTATGTATGGAAGCAATGAAGGAAATATTTGAAATATTGCATATACATTACATAGTATAAATAATAATAATGATAATAATAATAATAATAATGATAATAATAATAATAATAAATGTGGCTTAGCCGCTTCCCTCCCCTTCCTTCTGTCTTGGATGGGCAGATTTAACTTTGTTTTCTTTTGTTTGTTTTCTTAGCTAGTTTTTTTCTTATTTTTTCATGTTTCCCTTTTGTTTTTCTGTTGTCTCCTCTGGGATCTCCCTCTTTCCCCTATTTTCTTCTTCTAGTCATTGTTTTTGTACATGTTCGTTATTTTTATAATAATAATAATAATAATAATAATAATAATAATAATAATAATATACCATATAGGGGTTGTATTTCACTAGGAAGAAATTTCGCTAATTTCACATTTTTA